GTTGTTGTTTAGATCCCTCATTTTCTTGTTTTTTGGGGGGGGGGGGGGAGGCTTACTGCAGCTTGAAGAGGAGATAAGTATTAAACTTGTGTCACATCATCTTTACTGATGAGAAAAATGAAATTTCTTCAATGAAGTAATATAAACTTAGCTTGCCTTATGTAATTTATACTTGCTTTTATTTTCATCTTGACAAAAATAGAGGTATGTGTTAAGGGTTTTTAGTTAACTTTCAGCGATGGTTTCTAATAACTCTGGACTTCTTAGTGTTTCTGGTCTTGGACAGAAACTTCACAGCTCAAGCAAGCTCTTTTAGCTCTGCTTCTTCAAAACAGAACAAAAGGTCTAAACTTGTCACTGAGCTCTTGGAAGTTGCGTGAGAGTATGTTTGTACTAGTTTGCCAGTGATCTTTCTGCTGCCGAGTGATAGGTTTCACCAGTGCATGGGAAGAGAATTAAATCTATTGTCTGTAACAGCTTGTTGCTGTTAGGAGGTGGAATGGAGAGCATCGTCAGTGCAAAATCTGGTGGGCTGAATTAGACTTGCCTTTGCTCGTTCAAGCAAACTTATGCTTGGAGGCAGTCTCTGCCTTTGAGAAGTACCATCATGTTTGCATATCTACTTATTACTAAGAATAGCTTCTTCATCTCTAAAACTGTTCTAGCTATGTAGCTAGTTCTATTAATTATGCTATTTTAAACTACATACAGATTATTTCACAATAAAATAGCTTTTGAATTTAGAAAGTTTCTGCTACAGCTGCCCTGCAGTAAAAGCAAGATAACCTACATTTGGGGGGGCAGTTAAACAATATCAGGGTGTGAATCTATTGCTTCTAAAGAATTGCATGCATATTGCTCAGTTCAGATTCATGATATTCTTAAGCTCTTTGGTTTAGTTCACAAACAGGAATATGAAATATGTATATTAATTGATAATGGATAAATGTTGAAATGTTATGAGTCCAGCCTGTTTCTATTCTTGACTAAAACTTTCTGAAAAGTTCTAGTTAAACCTAGTAAAAAATTACGAGGTTTATCTGATTCACCATTGCTGCATAGGAAGCTGAATTGGTATCTTCAAGAATAGACAGTTTTGGTATGAAAATACTCATTGCATGCATGTAAAGCCTTAGCAGGAGGTTATAAAGATAAGCTGGTAAACTTGCTCTTCAGCTGTGTAAGGTAGTTCTTGCTCATACAGGTGGTTTTCTACAGGAGAAGAATATCTGATGTAGCTCTACTCAGTAGATCTAACCAAAAACCTTAGTAGGAAGAGCACTAAGTAGTTTAGCGTTTGAATGGGTTTGCAGTCCAATGCTTGAGTGGCACACTGCATGGGCAGTGTGATTAGTTGCTTCACAGACCCACCTGTGTATCCTTCTTTTTTTTTTTTTTTTTGCACTGTCCTTTCAAGGTGTGGAAAGATTACTTCTGAAGCTCTAAAGGCATCTATTTGGTGGGTCTGCTTTTTCTAAGTATGCCGTATAAAAGGGGACAATGTCTAAAACCATTCTGGCTCTTACTGCCAGTAACTCTCAGTTGAAGGGAGAGGGAAGAATGCAAGAGAAATGAAGTGTTCTTTCCAAGTAAGCCACCTATGCAGCCTCTATTATGTAGTATGAATGGGAACTTTTGAGCTTACAGTGAGTGAGGTTCTGGTCTTGGGTCCTGCTTTTGGTTATAAGCTGTGCTGTATGGTGAACGAATTGAACCACTCTAGGTAAGCTGGTTTATGGTAGATATTATGATTTTTTTTTTTACATATTTTTATGAAACAATACTCTTTGCATACTTACATAATTAATCCAAATTTTTTTCTATATAATAGAACTTGTATAAGGCCTGTTGTGATCTATGGAGCTACACAAACAGGCCATTCAATTCGTCAGGTAATGCAAGGCTGTAATATTCTATGTGCCACTCCAGGAAGGCTTCTAGACATCATTGGAAGAGAGAAGGTAAGATCTTAAAACTTAGTCTGAGTTCCCTAAACACTCTTAGCTTTTTACATACCGGTTTTCATTCTTCACGTTCGATGGAAGCAAAGACGGAGCCATGAAAACCAGTCAGTATACTGGCTTTGTACAGGCACTTACTTAAAATACAAATGAGCTTTTCTTGGAATATCTAAATACCATGAGGTTTTTGAAAGAGTAGCATAAGTCCAGATCTCTTCAGTCCCTTTCAGGGCTCACTGGAAAATATTCTAAATCAAACTGGCTGCAGTGTTCTTGGCAATTAAATTTTATAGTTTAAATACAGGGAACACCTTCTCTTAGTTCTCGTGGGAAATTCCATAGCAGATTTTCACTTGACATCCTGTTTGTTTTGCTACAATAGCTTTTATCTTTCTGGAACTATGCTAATATTCATTCTTTGAATGTTCTGATATTGATTTTATTCAAAAAATAAAAAACTCCAGGTGTAATATTGTATTTGAATTTTTGTTTTTCCAGCCATTATAAATTCAAATTGAAATTGCTACATATTATAATGGTGACTCAGTGATGTTGCACTGGACAAATGAAGTCTGGAAAAACACTTCTTGGTAATAAACTGGAGATTGGCTTTCTGCGGTTGTCAGGCTTCTAGTCAAAATGACAGTCTTGGTCAGCAACAGTGAAGTTATAATGTCCTTAATAATGCTTTCTGACATAATTTTTTTTCAGAACAAGGAGGTTTTTGAGAATGTGAGGGTTATATGAGAGAACCTTTCTAAAACTCAGACATAATTTCAAAATAGATGTGCTGAATAATAGTCAATCTGTAGGTTCTGTCTTGGTTTACATTACTGAACCAAGTTCTGAAGCATTTCAGTGTATGCATACTGTTAGAATTATTGCAGATTAAAAACTTAAGTAGAGGATGAGATGCAAATAAAGCATATAAGGCACATAGGCTTTTATTTGTGAATAATTAACCACTACTAGAAAGAAATGAGTAAAAGGTGGATTTTGGCAATTAGGACATTCTGTAAGTGTATACTGTCAGTGAACCAATACAGTTTTTCTTTCACTGAAATCTTGCAGATTGGTTTGCATAATGTGAAATATTTGGTGCTGGATGAAGCAGACCGCATGCTTGATATGGGTTTTGGGTTAGATATGAAGAAGCTGATTTCTTACCCAAGCATGCCACCAAAAGACAAACGTCAAACACTAATGTTTAGTGCCACTTTTCCTGAAGAAGTTCAGAGGTGAGTAAAATAAAAATGGAAATATATCTGAAGATGTACTTCTATAGAGCTAAATGTCTGAAGAGTTGTTAAGGGCACTCCTTATGTTTAAAAGCTCATAATCTTGCTAGAAGATACTGAAAAGCTGTGATGTTAACATTCCTTGCTGAAGACTTCCTTTTTTTTTAGGTAACAGAACTAGTAACTTGCATAGATTAACTGCTTAATTTAGGTGGGGACTCTAAAGCAACTTGAAGTTTGTCTGAAGGCTTTTAAATTCCACTGCTGCAGAAGTCCTCCTGCTGCCCCTGTTTGTTTCTTGTCCCTCCCCCACCACATCTGTGCAAGCTCAAAAACAGGGATCTTGCTGTTTAACAAGCAGCACTGGTAGCGCTGTCTTTGGCACCAGGACATAATATAACCAAACATCCCAATTATTGCTCAACTCACCAGCCTTTCTGATACACAATTCTTATTTACATGCATAAGTGCTGTTTGTTTTCAGTAGTTTTAAAGCTTCCACAAATGGGTTTAGGATATATCTTACAGCTCTACTACTCACTACCCTTAAAGTTCCACTTTCCAGACTCTGAGAGAACAGTCTTCAACAGATGGTAGTGGGGTTGCTGAGCCTGGGAGTAACAGAACAAAACACCCCATTCCCTGTAGCTGGATAGAAATTATTCAGTATTTCCACTTTTGAAGAGACAGGCATCTGAATACTCATTTGTAAATCAGAGGAGTCTAAACTTCAATTTGAGTGGTTGACATAATTTTGGTGGCTTTTGTAGTAGGGATACTGTTGTGACAGAATCACTAAAAAATACCAGTAAGCATATTGCAGTTTGAGAGCATGTAAACTGATCAGACAGTTGCAGTGAAGTATGTTGATACTTCAGTGAGTCAAATCCTGACAACTGTCTTCTGGCTTTCAAAAAGCCTGAAAGATCTTTTTTGAGGCAGGGAGAAAAAATCTTTAGTTGACTGTCCTGAATGAAAGAGGGGAGTGGGCTGCTTTCTCTCATTCAATCAGTTAATACTGACAGCTGTTGGGGAGATGAATTGCCTTTCTTTTAAGTAGGATTGAATTCACTTTAAACTCAGTCTTAAGTCACCTGTTGTGGCTTTGGTTCCTCAGTCAAGACTTTTTTCATGGAGTTTTTTGTGTCGAAAGAAGATCTTGCAGTGAAGTAATAATGGTCTTGTTTTCGCAGCTGGGAATCAAGCGTTCAAATGATACTGTACCTGAGTGTGGTTCATGTTTCGTTCCATGTGTTTACTGTTTGTGTGGGAATGTGGTCTCACGTCGCACTGCATCCTGGGAAAAGATGAGGTGTGTCTCCCTTTAAGATGCACAGTGTGCTCTGATTGACTCGGGTTTTGTGGTTGAGAGAGGAATCTTGATCCCTTGATCTCTAGATCTGTTGTCTTTTATCAATGTGTTTTTGCTAGTGCTCTTCCTATGTGTTTTTGCTACATACTGAGGGATGAGTAGAGTACTGTAACTACCATCACCTGAAAGGAGGAGATCCCTTCAACTGTGCAAGACATTTACTGTCTGCTTCTGTTTAATGAAAAACAAAACAGATCTACCTTTCTACTCTCAGTCTTGCAGGATTTACAAGTGCTGGTAGAAAACTTCAGAAACCTGAGCGCTTGGATCATGGTTTGGAAGTGCGTAATAATGTTCTTGTAGCCTTTTGAAACTGGAATGCCTAAAGATGATGTCCTCATTTTAGACAGTGAAAACTCTTCTTGTCTGGAGTCAATTTCTTCCTGGATTTACTGCCTTTCTGATTCTGGAGTCAGGAAAGCTAATGTTTTCCCATACTCTGCTATCAAAACAACTTTGGACAGTATACTACTTCAGTAGTATAGGACAAGGTGCTTTCTTTGGCCCTGCTGGGTTCAGGCTCTCCTGCATGTCTATTCAGTGAGAGTAATCAGATTTAGTTTTAACATACCGTTTGGTTCTGTACCTGAATTTGGGTCTCTGCTGTTAAATAAACCTTTGGTCTGATCATCAAGGCTCTTCCTGTGCATGTGAGTTGAGAGAACCGTGCATTTCCTAGCTGACTGGTGAACTTCAGCTTAGCATTTGGGGCCTTATATATCTCCCATTAAAAGGTCTTTTCTTCCTTCTCTCCCTTTCTGTTTTTTGTTTACTGTTACATTTTCAGAGAGTTTAAACTTGCCCTTTACTTTCAGTTTAGAACTTCGACTCTCTGTGAGATCTTAAACCAGTCAGATCTTAAGACCAAACACATTTAAATCTCTAGTAACCTGTTTATTTGCTATGAAAAACACCTTTTCAGTGGCAATTACACCTATAAATCAGGTGGGAGATTCAAGTCCATAAGGCAGTCCTTTAATATTTTTAAGACTTTCTTCTTTTTTTAGGAATTTGTTCTAAAACTTGAGATTGCCTGTCTTCAGTTAAAGGTTGACTCGTTTACCATCTGAATTTTACTGCAGTGGAAGCTGCTGTGTGTACACTGGACATGAAGCACACTTGTGTATTGATACGTTAATACAGTTTAGTAAAACTCTCGAGTATTATGGGGCATTCGAAGGAGTTATCTATTTTGGCAAGTTTGAGCTCTCAGATAAGATCACCTATGTAAGGGATAACTGAAGAGGAATACTCTCTGAACAGAACTTGACTTTTGCCTATGGCAGATGGTAAATAAATGCCATGTAATAAACTGTGTGGTTTTTAAGCACTGCTTTTGTTGAACAGTCAAAAAGGATGGTGTTGTCTCTTGGAGGCCTGTTTTGAATTCTGACCTGTGTAGGATTCTCCACTGGCCCTCCAGCTAGTGATGAAATAGTGCCCCGAGAACAGTTCTGTGAGCATATATGTCAGTAACCCATTTTATTACAAGCATATACGTGGAACTCTTTCTGAGGTGGCTAGAAAAAGCAGTGTTTGTATTATGAAAAGCTACAGGGACATAATGAGTCTGTGTACCTTCTTATTGATCAGGTTTTTTTGTACAGCTGTCTAGAAAACAATACAGACCCTTTCAGCTTTTTAAAAAATGCACATATGACTACTTATATCCTCTGCCTTGTGAGGAATGATACAAGTATTTGTTGTGAGGGTTGCTTAAACATAAATGAAGTTACTTGATCTTAAAGCAAAAATAAGCTACATAATAGACTTCATATTGCTCAATTTTGCTTCTTTTCAAGGCTGGCTGCTGAATTTTTGAAAACTGATTATTTATTTGTTGTTGTTGGACATGTGGGTGGAGCTTGCAGTGATGTTCAGCAAAATATTCTTCAGGTTCCTCAGTATTCCAAGAGGGATAAACTGATAGAAATTCTACAGAGCATAGGTAACTTTCCTTATTGCTAATTGTTTTCCAGGGAAGATGTAACTGCTTGTTTTTCAACTTGTGCTCTTGTTTCCAGGGAAGATGTAACTGCTTGTTTTTAAACTTGTGCTCTTACTATTGACCAGGTCATGATTCCATTCTATTATGTGTTACATGCTTTACAAGACTGCTGATTGACGCTTGAAGCAGACCTCGGGGAGCTCTAGGTTTTTAGGCATATTTGTGTTACGGGTATTTGCCAAGGTCTCAGCTCTATTGAGTACTATCAGACAAGCTTCCCAGATGGTTAGTTTCTTTATATGGTCAATTACAATACTTCAGCATCTGGGGGTGTTATCTCCAGATTATAGGCATATTAAACTTCTTATGTGAATGTTTGGGCCTATATTTTGTTAATGGCTGGGATTTTTCCATTTTTGCTCTGAATGTATCTTAAGTTTTAATGCTGAAACCTGGAAGGGTGTTTGGAATTAAAAAATGGTCTGTGTACCTTGCTGTTCAGTGCTCAGAATGGCATGCCACTTTAGCCACATGCTGTAGAAGGGGAGTGCATACGTATCACAGAGAGCAACATTTGTTTCCTCCTTTTATTGAGGAGAAAAATACAATGCGCTTGTCTTTACCTAGGTTTCTGTGTTGATCTAGAAATTGATGGATAGAATTTAATTAGTTCAACACAGGCAAGAAATTACAATCATGCCTTAAAGACTTTATTCAAAACCCGTTCTGCTATTAGGTGTTCATATAAGTAACTGCAACTGTGATTAGTGAAAATGCATCAGGTTTCAAACTGCAGTGGATTTGAACTCTTGTTTAACATAGGCCATGAACGAACCTTGGTGTTTGTGGACAAAAAGAAAAAAGCAGACTACATTGCAGCCTTTCTTTGTCAAGAAAAAATACCAGCCACTAGCATCCATGGGTAAGTATTTTTTAAGTGGAAGTCAGGTAACAGTACTAAGTGAAAGCCACTTAATACTATATCTTATGAGAAGCTTTTATTGAGATTTCATGTTTGGCCATATCTGTGTGACTTGCCTTGTTTCAGATAGCCCTGTAAAGGTCAGCAGCTCTGCCCAATTGAGAATGTAGTGTTTCTGAAGGCCAGTTCTCGCAGCATTTGCTGAGTATGCATTTTTCTGGGTGACCACACTTCAGATGCTGTATATGAACTGGAGAATCTTAATGCCTACTGCTAAAAAAAAAATTAGTATATGATAAATTCAGTAGAATCAGTTGTTGGTCATATGTAGTTTTTGTCATCATTTGTGTGACCAAAACCAGACCTTTTGGTGTTACTGATGAGATGATATTTGTAAATTCAAGTGGCAGCCGTGGACCTTCCACTCTGTCTTATAGGCTTCCTCAAAGTGACGAGATAAGTCGGGTCATGCACCATACAGATTTCTGCTGTCATTTCTGCCTCCTTGATGTGTTCATGGACATAGATCAATCTCCAGACAAATGCTAAAGAAAAGATGGTTCTAACTTGTGTTTGAAGGTGCAATAGTTGCTAATTCCAGGTCTAAACCCATCTAAAAAGATGGTCTGTCTTTTACGTAATGAGCTGGAATGTAGTTCTGTAGTGTTTGTTTATGTGTCAAAATGTAGGACGACAAACTGAATCTTAAGATTCCCAGTGAACTGTAGCACATCAAAAATGTAATTTTGCAATATTTTCCATCTTGTAATAGGAGGAAGGGACTTGAATTCTTGCCAATAAAATGATGTTTTGGGCAGTGTTCTGACAGACATCAGAATATCAAAGTTGTAGATGGGTTAAAATGATCTTAGTACACAGATATGAGATGTTTGTGTGTGTCCTGTGCTCTATCAGTTTTACAGGTATATGAAGGGTCATCTTGAGAAGACCTGGCCTTCTGTTCTTGGCTAACCTGAATTGCTATCCCACAACCTGTCTTGTGTGGGAGGAGGTTCTTAACATGTTTCTGTAGAATTATTACACTGTGAGTTAAGGTAGACTTACAAAGAGAATAACTGGTTCCATGGAAGCTGCTGAACTGTCATGAATGTTACTGATTTCTGATTCGCATGAGTTTTTTCGAGTTGAAGTTAGTTAGGATAGTTGCTCTTCTCTGGAATAGTGGTCGTACCAGACTTAATGAAGTGTGCCGTGTTAGATTCAAAAGAGCACAGCTTTTTAGCTTTCTGATTTGTTCTCTCATTTGGACAACAAAGAACCATGAGTTAAACTCTGACCTACTGTATTTAAAGTACTGGATAATCTGTAAATATTCTTTAACAATGCAAACCCCAGAGCAAATGACGACAAACAAAAGGCAAGTTCTATACTGTTGGCTGGCCACGCTTTCTAGTATATCTGAAAAATTGCCTATGCAGGAGTCTAGGTAGACTTCATCTTTGCTATTCTGGCTCCCTGCTACAAAGCGGTAGGAAAAGCACTTCTAACTACGGCATAAAGAAACAATCAGTTAAACAAGTGGATCTTCTTAGGAAGGCAGTGAGTTAGATACATGACTATCTCTGGATCTTTAAAAAAAAAAAAAAAAAAAAAAAAATTT